GAAAGAACTAGCTTGCATGGTGCAAAATTTGTTAGCTTGTTTTGATACCAACTGTTAGGAATGAGTTGGCACTAAGAGGGGGGGGGGTGAATTAGTATAGCAAATAAAAACGTCAGGGTACGGGCGGTACCACCGCCTACAACCTGACACTGGGCGGTACCACCACCCAGTCTGGTGGTACTACCGCCTGGGAGATTGTGTATGGGTGGTACCACTATCCAGACTAGCGGTACCACTGCCTGACAACCTCGGAGACCGAGTTTTTCAAGTTTTCCAACTCACAGGCAGTTCTACCGCTAATTCTGGCAGTGCCACCGCCTAGCCTAATATTTGGGTAATTGAATGGGCCTCCCAATGAGCCCAAATTACTCCCAATTTAGACTCAATTAGTCCCTAATTGAGTTGGTATTGTTTCACCCCAATACCGACTCAATTAGACCTAAAACCTATTTCGATCTAGACAATTATTACAAAGCTCATCAAATGTTGTCTGGTCATGTCATTGGTTCGACACTTCATCCGATTCTTCGGTGCATTGTCTTCTCTTGTGGCATATTGCCCAATCGGCCAGTTAACCTCCGTAACTCCAATTTCCTTGGTGTAATTTCCATTCTTCTTGGCCCGATGCCCGAATTATCGGCCCGAAGTCTTCTGTCGATATGTCGACCAATCCTCCGGCTCGACGTCCAATCTTCTGACATGTTCTACTCCGGCCCAATATGAATCTTCTTGTTTCAATTGTCTCTCCCTGATCGAAGCTTCCTGTGTCACTCAAAACATAAATAAGATAAATACTATCAAATGGTTTCATCATCAAAATCCGAGATTCAACAGTAATTATATTGAGTTTAAAAAGACATTCATAAATAAAGCCTATTCCAATAAACACATCTTCCTTAGATGTTATAACTTTATATGCTTCTAAAATTAATATTATAGCCTAATTGTAATAGAAAAAGCCACTAGTTAGGTTCCATTAGCTACTTGGTACGTGCTTCACATTATCAAGAACAATTATCTTTCTTTAAGTTAGTTTCAAGTGGATGCATATGGTTCCTAGCACATTCGTAGATGTCCCACTCCTCATGGTCACACTTCTACTAGTCTCGACTAGTATAAACATAGATGATGACACCAAAATCTAATTACCATTTAGAGTCGGATGGTTCAGTCATAGTCATATTGACTTAAGGTCAAGGGTTGAAGATCAACTTTTTAGTCTTTTGGTAAAAGTTATTCTCCTAGACTCCATTTATTATACTGACAATGTTATTTTCTTTAGGTGAGTGACTGAGGTCAAGTAGTACTATCTTGATTCTCGTCGATCATTTCTTAATTCTCCGATTTATGAGCTAGTGGGAAACTTTTGTGTCATATAGTATATTGACACAATTGCTCTCAATTGATTGAGAGTAGGGTGACCCACGATGGTGTTATATACCGATGGGATATCAAAAACTAAAAACTTGATCTTCATATTCTTTAAACAATTGTCAGAGTCAAAAGTTACATAGAGGTCAATAGTCTCAAGGGGGATGATAGAATGCCCTATGAAGCCTATTAGGGTTGAAGATATTGGTTGAAGATATCTTATTGTTAGATCAATTTTTTGAAAGGCATCATAATATATGATGTTTACGGAGCTCTCAATATCAATTATGATTCTTTTCACTAGGGCATTTACAATAGGAAGGGAGATTACCGATGCATCATCGTGCTTAGGATCCAGGTGCTCTACCTTCTCTTCTCTAAACATGATCAACGAGTCCTTGTTGAGGTAGAACCTCTTTACTTGGGACTCCCTTGCATACATCTTTCAAGCGAAAGAGCTAGCCTCCCACCCAGCAGCTAGTCCTAACAATCATTCCCACTTGCCACTTGCCACCTTATCTTCAAGTTCGACCAAATGAGCAACTAACTTGTTTTGGATTTCTCGTTCTAATGGAGGATTTGGGATTTGAACTAGTTGTGGAGAGTGTGCTACTTGTGATATGTTCGCTCGAGTTGGACACGATTCTATCATAAAATTAGAAGATGGAATGAGTGATGGGATTAGAGGTAGGAACTGTGAAGTGAATAGAGCAGGTTGTGTTTGTTAGGTTAATTGGGCCAGCTAAAGAAGGTATGAAACTATAGTTTAGACTATCTTGATTAAACCTAAACTTATTGGACTAGAGTGTGTAAGGTCTCAGTAGGACGATCATTATTGTGGAAGGTAAAGGAACAAATTACTGGGGAGAAAGTGGTTGATTGAAGGTTGAGTCCTAGAAAAGTCATCGAAAGAGAGTGACAATGGGAATCTGGAGAGGAGTGTTCAGGCGCTGGTCGACACCCCGAGTTGCCTAGGTCCTAAGATCATCGGGATCGGGGGATTCAATAATGGTGCATTTGGAGCTGTTGAGCTTGGCCCATTCGAGTTCAAGTCTTTAGAATTCAGTCGAGACAGTCTAGTGAAGTTCCCTTGAGATATTTTGGTTGATTCTCATTCTAGTGTTAAATTGTTATGTCCATTTTTAGTTGTCTGAGGTGAAAGCCGACTCGTATCCAACTCGGTCCACTTCTCGAGTTTGTCTCAAGCTGATCTCCTCTATCTATCATTTAAATCTTGTAATAACTATATTGGGGTACTATCAATAATGCTTTTTCGATACTTAAGTCAATAGACTAGTCAGATAAGTTAGATATATCTATTTAGTGTGCCCTTTTTTTTAGATACTTATGATGCACCTATGAGCCTATGAGTCCTATGAGCCCTTTTTTTTGCGGTGGGTGATTTGTGCCATTACTTCCTTATAAAGTGTGGCTCATGTAATCGTGGGATATTAATTTTGGATGTATCTACCACAATTTATGTTGAACTTGGGATTTTATCATCTCTTAACACTTGGCATAGATCGGATGGTGGGGGCAACTAGTTAGCTAGAGAACGTGAATTTTTAGAAAAGCAACTAGTTACCATGTGAGACCCATATGTCTCTAGCATGCCACTCCATGATGTCAAGGATTTTGTCATGTAGTATTGACATGGTAGATTATTATGTCGATGACATGGCTTGAGTACACCTATCACGTGGGTCCGAGTCATCAACCATATGACGTCAACAAGTTGGGTGACACGTGGTCTCCATGTTGGCAACGTGGTCTCGACATATTGACAAAATGTTGTTGGTGGTATAGTATCGTTGTGTCGATCTTGTTATGTTGATACATTGGCTCGTGGTTTATTATTTTTTCTATAATATATGATTATAATAAAATATTTTGAGAATGATCAAACCATCTAGAAGATTTAATTCGACAACTCTTATAAAATTAAGCTGGATCAATTTGACGTGCACCAATGTTCGTACTAACATATGGTTTATAAAAGAACTTTATTGCTATGAATTGGATGGAAATCTTTATCATTTTTTAAAATATCAAAGTCACCCTACTAAACCGTACATCAAACATCTCAATTTTTCACAAAAGATTGGCTCATGGGATACGATAGATTAATCATGGGATAGTCTTCTGATCCTGATAGTCATGGGATAATCTTCTGATCCCGTTAATCATGGGATAGTCTTCTGATCCTGGGATAGTCTTATGATAGTCTTCCCGTTAATCATCCCGTTAATCATGGGATGACTAAATGGGAAACGACAATCATGGGATGGGAAACGACAAAAGAAGGTCATCTCGTTAATCATCCCATTAGTCTTCCCGTTATTCTTCCCGTTAATCTTCCCGTTAATCATCCCGTTAGTCTTCTGATAGTCTTCCCGTTTCACATATCGAGATGGGAAACGATAAACGAAGGTCATCCCGTTAATCATGGGATAGTCTTCTGATCCTGATCGTAGTAGCATCATTGGTAATTTAATAGGATGACAGATTAACGGGATGACCTTCAATTGGAGTCCCAATCGATCTCCTGCCCGACAATAAATGTCCGAAACAGACAGGACATACACCATTAATCTGCAAGACCAGCAGTGACATATTGATGGGCCGGCATGAGGTTCAGCGAAGGAGTCTCTTTCCAAAGCTTGGAGATATGGTTTTGTCATCGGTGATTCTAATATAGTAAAAATAAATTATATATATAATCCAAGTTTAGAATATATATTTCTATAAAGATATATCATTTTAGCTAATATTGGTCATTAGCATAATGACATTAAAACTTGAGTTAATTTTAAAAAAACAAATAACTAATAAATGAAATATTTTTTTTAAAATAATTTATTAAGACTAATAATAGATAGTAGTCGATGAATGATACTGAGAGCGCGTATGTGAAATATTTAAATGTTTGAAGACATTTGAAATTTAAACGAACGAATTTGCTATTTCAAAAGGATAAATATGTAAAGCCGTAAAATATATTTCCCTTCAGTAAAGGATAACATTTGATCCAAAGAAAACTCAGGTAAATCCTCATCTAGATAGTTTGAGTTAGCTCCATGAATCAAGGGCTGTAAGCGGTTACAACAAGCACTTTACTAAACTCGATCATATATATACTAAAATCAGGAAAATATATGTAATTTTCGAAAGAAACGTAAAACCCGCCCCTCGTTTTATCCTCTCCGGAAGGTGACAAAGAGTCAAAACAAGAGAGACCGGCGGAATTTTCTAATCTTGATTCCGTGCAGTGAGCATCTCCTAATCCCATCCTCCACTCCCACCTTGTCTTTTTCACCACCAACGCCCCTATCCCCTCCTCCCCCCTTGCTGCCGGCCTTCTTGTCTTCTTTTATATGTACGTGGCCATTGGGCGCGATCCGGTGAGCAGCGATGGCGAGGCCTCCGACAGCGTCGGCGTTTCTTTGCGTCTCCTTGATGATTCTTGCTCTCGCTGGAGTCTCTCGGGGCGGATACATTGCCTATAACACCAGCGGTGGCACCGTGGTTGGGAAGCTGAACGTGCACCTGGTGCCGCACTCGCATGATGATGTCGGCTGGCTCAAGACGATCGATCAGTACTACGTCGGGTCCAATAATAGCATCCAGGTGTTAAGCTCTTCTTTTCGGAGGCGAATCGCCAAGTTACTCTGGGTTTTAATTGGAAATTTTTTTCTTGGTAACCTTCAACAAAATGTGTTGCCAAGATAGTCTGCATTTTAGTGTACAAATATTTTCTTGATAACCTTTAATGACGTTCTGCTCCAATTCCTTGTTCTTTCCAACATAATGTGTTGCCAAGATAGTCTGAGTCATAGTTTAAGCACCTTTACTTACTAATCTTTAATCTGGTCCGCTCTAATTCTTTCTTTCCTTTGAAATGGAACGTGATTAGGGTGCTTGTGTTATGAATGTGCTGGACTCGGTGGTGGACGCGTTGCTCAAGAATCCGACCAGGAAGTTTATCTTTGCTGAGCAGGTTTTGCATTTTTCATATTTGGTTTTATGATTTTGACGGTTGTTGTTATGTAACGCGAGAATGAATTTTCTAGTCTTGTTACTTGCAGACTTTCTTATGACATGATCTTGTTGGACTCTATTTTGTTGGTATTATATTAAGAACCTGCTTAGATCAATGGTCTGTTAAGCCTCATATAACTAATTTCTGTAATGCTAACGAATGTTTTTGGAGTCTTCTTGTAAAAGGCGCTTATGCTGTGTTTGGTCGTTGTTAACTCTTTTATTGGTTTTAAATCTTTCATATTCATTGTCATATCTTTGTCATATACTCTTGGGATACTTTGCCCTGAAAAATATAAAGTATAAAACGGTACCATGTGTTGGCTCAATTTTCTTCCGGCATTTCTTCATCTTATCTGTGACACATAGACTTCTTCCATTTAATGTGGTTCTCTCCAGCAAATGCTTTTTGTGGGAGGTATAAGCACGTCTAAGAACACATGATCATTTGCCTTGCAATTACAAGTCAGATATTGATCCACTTCTGTTTCTATTTGACTTGATTACTGCTGTCACAGAGAAAACACACATTTGTTGATGCTGTTAGTTGCTTTGGTTCTTTTCTCCTATGCATAATTTTTTTTGCCATTCTGATGTATTATAATTTTGTACACAAGACTTCAAAATGACATTTAATCTTCTAAATGGAGAAAAAGTCCAGGTGAAATTAGAACACTGTGCAATAACTAAGACCGCTAAAAATTATTATTCCTATAGGGCAAATATTCACTGTTTTTGCTACATGTTTGTTGTCAATTTCAAGCCAAATGGATCAATTAAACAGTCAAGGATTGATTGTTGCTAATTGACCCCTCTCTAATTGAGCTCAACTTTATTAGAGTCAACATGTACAACTCTTATTTTTGTAGGTAGTCCTCGTCCTAGTATGCTGAGAAGTGTTTCTAGTATATGTTCTTTCATGATGAAAAACTTCTCTAGCATTTGCTTTAGGAGGAGAAGCTTTTATACCCAACTGTAAATATTTCATGTAGCAATGTCTTTGTGCTTAATTGAATTTGTTCCAAGCATTACACAAACTTGGAATCCTTGAAAGCTGACAAAGCAGACCCATCGGATCCGAATCATGGATTTTGACAAGTGCAGATTATTTGCTGCATATTAAATATTCTTTGGTACTACTAATCCTCTCCCTGCTTGATGTTGACATGTTAAGCAAGCTACGTGAGACTCCTGACCTGTGACAGTGAGTTAAGCTGACCATCTAACTAATAATAAAAAAATTTGGTACTAATGCAGCAAGTGCCAATAATTAATTTGTGTAGAGCAGGCTGTTATCAATTATAATAAAGATCCTATAAAATTCTTTAGGATATGTAAAAATCTAGGGGCTACAAGCAAGGATCGGAGGAGCTTAAGTGTAAATGGTGGTGGAGGCAAGGTTTACCGTATCACGGTGTACTACTCGGTATGGGTGGTACGTACCAATCCGACAGAGAACTGGTATGGGTATTACATCGATATTCCCCATATACCATGTGTTAGTATGCTTGGTATGACTCAGTACAACTCGATACATACTATACCGACAGTTGGTTGATAAGATAAACCATGGGTGGAGGTTATATTTTGAACCAAAATATTTCCAACTTGACCTTGATAGATGAATGGTGGTGGAGGTTTTTCTATGGTTTTGTGTCAATTTGGAAGCGGCATATCTCCTTCAAATACTATAAGAGGAAGCCTCTTTTGGATAACTCCCTAGCTAGTTCCTCCATTTCTACTATCTAGAAGGGCATAACACACATCCAGACATGCTTTCAAAATCTCTTGTTGTTTTATCCTTGTTAGTTGACTCCATATTAGGCATTGGAAGGACAATGATTGGTTAGATACTTATTTTGTAGGCAAAGCCTCCTTTGCTTGCAAAATTTGATTAACAATCCTAATTAAAGTATGAAGTATTGGCCTGATCTCGATAACCTATTGAATCAATAAGATACCGTTGCACCAGGTAATCTACCAACCTGTACTACCAAGTACCAAGTATTATAAAATAAAAGAAAAAAATTAAAAATGAGTGATAACGTATTGGTGTTGAACTAATGTGTAAAAGTACTTGATCAAATTCCTAAATATTGGTCAGTATGTAACAACCTGATAATTATTAAAACCTTGATGGCTTGATCCCAGAAAGACACTGACTTTCAAACTGCATTTATGTGCCAAGGGAAGGAGGCCCTACTTAGTCCACATTAATTGGTATGTTTGGTAGTACATCTAAAGCAGGTCATTCTACTTGTGTTATCAGTTTAGAAGTGAACATTTTGTAGTTTTTGATAGCTTCCTTACACATATTCCTCAACTTTAGACGTTCCTTATATCCACTCTACAAATCTAATAAGTCACTTGCATTCCTTTAAAGTGGTCAACCTTTAAGAATATAGTCAATTCCAAGAAAGTTAATTAGAAAGATTGGCTTATAAAGTCATGTATTCCTTTTTTTCTAAGCCATTGGAGACAAATTATCATATTCTTCTTCAATGTCTACTGACTCCTTCCATTAATGTCTATTGGAGTTGTGGCACCTTTATTCCTTCCCCTTAAAGTTGTAACGATTTAGTGATGGCTTAATCATGCTCCTACATTGATTCATTTGGAAGTAGCTACAACATGTGAGTTTTTTGGGTGGCCTTTTGAGGAACCTTAATGAAATTCTAGATGGGGGTTAGTCTGGTTTGCTGATCTTACAAATATAGCTCTTGCCTTGGGATCTTTGATTTTTATAATTTTGTTACTTTAATCTCTCAAAGTTTGTTATTGAGATGAAGGTTTCTCTTATTGCTACTTATAAGATACTCTTTCTTCTTTATTTCTTTTTTGTTCTCATTTGCCTTTTTCATCTATATTTAATTAATATTTTAATAAAATTAGTTTGCAGACTCGATGATTTGGCTCGAGAAAGTAAAAAACACAAAAATCTGTGTTACAGGATTAAAAGATGATGTCCGTGTTACTTCTTGATCAGGAGATCATTGCCTAGTTATTTTGCATTATTTTGGACCACACTATTAATGAGTAGATCAATACACAGCTTTTACCTCTCTTCAAGTGAACCATTGTCGAGGCAACACGACGTCGCCTTTTATGAAAATATTTATATATAAAAAATCTTTTATATATAAATATATATATATTTATAGATAAATATTTATATATAAATATATATATAAAAGAATTTTTTTACTTTTATATATCGTTTTTCGAGGCGACATCGCTGAATTTTTATTTTATTATATATATGTATATATATGTATATATATGTATGTATATATATATGTATATATGTATATATATGTATGTATATATATATGTATATATATATATATCGAATGGTCTGTCGCTCGATATATAATACCGTACTATACCGAGCGAATGTCGAAACTCCGGCATGGTACGATATTTCAATCCTTGCTTTAAATAATTCATTGGTCGTATTGACAAAAAGTTGACTATTATTAACAATGTTTAACATTCAAGAGAAAGAAAGGAGAGAGGACGAAGCAAAGAGAAGGAGAAGGGGAGTTTGTCGATTGGGAGAATAGCTATTGGAGAGGGGGGTTATCAATTGGGAAGGAGGGGGAGGGTGGCGACAATAGAGGAGAAGAAAGACGGAGGGAACAACAAGAGGGAAATAGAGGGGAGCAATGGTGGAGGAGGAGAAAGAGGGAGGGCAAGAAGCAAAGTGAATGAGAGGCGATAGGAGGAATGAGGTAGTGGGAGGAGGAGGTGGAGGTGGTGGAGGACGAGGAAGGAGAGGAGATGGGTGTTGTGAAAAAAGTGGGCAGTGTGTATAAGTTCCGAGAACAAATTCATCGCTTTATGGCAGTGATTTAAAAAGGCGCTCGGGCGCTTGCCTAGGCGCTCGGGCGAGGCGAGGCGAGCTCTGAGCGCCTCGCTTCATTTCCAAGCGGTGCGCTTTAAAGAGGCGTCGCCTAGGCGCTCGCCCGAGCCCAAGCGTCGGGTGCTTCGGGCGAGCGCCTGGGTTAAACCAGGCCACCGAACCAGCGTTTGAGGTCTCGTTCGGTCGTCGGTGCTTTAGTTGGTTCAATCGAACCAACTAAAGCACTGATATCAGTGTGACTTCCCCAACCCTAACCCTGCTCGCCGTTCACGCGACTGCCGCCGCCGCTGCTGTCGCCGCTCGCCGCTCTCGCTGCTGCTGCTCACTGCTACCGCTGTCACTCCCACTGTCGCTGCTACTGTTGCCACTGTCTCCGCTCGTCGCTTCCACTCTTGCTCCCGTTGCTCGCTGCTGCCAGTGCCACTATCGCCGCTTGCCGCTCCCGCTGTCGCTGCTGTTACTCGCTGTTGCCGCTGCCACTGTCGTCGCTCGCAGCCACCGCTCCCGCTCTTCTCAGTCAACACCCTCGGTCTTCCGACTCTTCCCTTACACTCTTCTCCTCTTTCGATAGTATACTGTTAACTGTATACTAGTAATAGTATTTGTATTTATTAGATTAATTTAATAGTATATTTTTATTTAAAAATTTAAATAATTATATTTATTAATTATATTATATATTTTTATATTTTAGCGCCTCACTTCGCTCGGGCAAGCGCCTAAGTGAGCGCCTAGCGCCTCGGGCGTTTTTGAATCTTGGCGCCTTTTGGCGCCTAGCGCTTTTTAAATCACTGCTTTATGGCTAATCGATGATTACTAGTGATTCCGACTTCATGTAGGCAAAGTCTAACCTTTAATTCAGCCTCAGGATGGGGTTTTGGGTTAGCTTACCCTTGTGGGATCATGACCCTTTATCATAGCCATCGTAGCACGTGTATCGCCTAGGGGTCTAGGTGCGAGTAGTCCACATCTTCATAGACATGTCTATTTCACTAAGCTTCTCCTTGAGATAGACCAAGATCAGTGTTCGAGGAGGCTTGGTTAGTGGAGAGGGGCTGTTGGGGAGGCTTGACAAGCAACGACAGTGAAGGTGGGGGAGGAGAAAGAGGGAGAGCGACAATGGGTGGGAAGGAGAGACAGAGTCATCACAAGAAGAAGATGCTGTCGAAGGTCGTCGTGTGAGAGGAGACCACTTGTTGGTCACTCAACGACCACCTTTGCTTGTGTCACGGGAGGAAGACACCACTAATTCATTGCTAGGTTTTCTAGAGGAGAGAAGGATAAGTCTCGTTTGAGGGGAAGTGGGTGCCTCCTATCTAGTTCGATCGAATTATAATCAATGCGAGTGGCTCAAGTTGGATCAGGCATATGTCTGGGCCATGTGCTATTGCAAGCATTTATCTGAATCCAAATTGAGGCACTTGAGCCTTTCCCAAGCGCTTAGGCAAGCATAATAGTTCCTGGTGAACTCACTTGTTAGCATCTAAGAGTAAGAGGGTATTTTGCAACTGACTTCCTTGTTTCTTTCTGAAGTTATTCATTAATTTTTTTCACATGCGAGGATTTAGTGAGCAATAAATTACTGGATGCAGATATATACTTGTTCATTAAAGGTGGTAGTTGCAGCCAAAATCAGTTTTTCTAACCAAACATGTAAATATGTTTGAAGGTGATGCATTATACTTTATTCTAAAGTCAATATGCCCAGCTCAAAAACCTGGGTGGAAAATTCTTGTTTAAAATTAAAATAAATGATACTTCTTATTGGTCAAATTTTATGTTGAGCACATTTTGGATTATGTAATGATGTCTTAGATGATCTAATATCTAACTAAAGTTCAAGAATCCTTTCAGATAAAAGAGAACAATGTAAATACCATTTCTGACTGAACACAACTTCAAGAGATTTGGGTTTTTACTTGTGCATTCATCCAAGTTTCAGGACTGATAATTATTCCTTTGCCTTTCACCTTTTCAGGCATTTTTCCAAAGATGGTGGATAGAGCAAAATGATAGGACTCAAGAAGTGATGAGAAAGCTTGTAGATTCTGGGCAGTTAGAGTTCATGTACGCACTAATTACTTAAGCGTTGCTTCTGATTATCCTAGTTACAATTTTCATGTTCTAAGACTATTGATTCAGAAATGGTGGCTGGTGTATGCATGATGAAGCCACAGTTCATTACATTGATATGATTGATCAAACAACTCTTGGTCATTGGATGATTAAGAAGCAGTTTAACAAGGTTCCTCGAGCTGGATGGCAGATTGATCCTTTTGGGCATTCTGCTGTACAAGCTTACTTGCTTGGGGCAGAGGTGATGCAAAACCCTACCTCTTGGCTCTCTGTCTCTCTATCCCTCTCAATTTAGTTAAAGTTTAATAAATATTGGTTGTTGCACCTTCTAAGATGTTAAAGTTATCAAGTATTGGTTACTCCAATGATATTTCTTTCGGTGCTTGCTGTGGAAAATGACTATATTTTCTAGAGCATGAGATCATCACTTACTAAAATCTGTTGATAGTATAACCTTATAAAGAATTGATCCTGTAATTTGTCATAGACAAAGATCAGTAATTCATTTTGTTATTGTTATGAACTTTAGAAATTGCTACTTGAAGTTGTAGTTTCTTTACTATTAGTGACATAAAACTATGTACTGTCATCATCACACTTTATTTATTATGCTTATGCAAAATTTGCAGCTTGGTTTTGATTCTATGCATTTTGCAAGAATTGATTACCAAGACAGACAAAAACGCAAGTTGGACAAATCTCTTGAAGTTATATGGCAAGGGTCAAGAACTTTTGGTCCTTCCTTGCAGGTTGTCAACTTCCTTTTTCTTGCCCCTTTTTCTTTTTTGAAAGTTCTCATTTCTTGACATAAATATTGGTCCAGATTTTTGCAAATGCCTTTCCGGTTCATTATAGTGCTCCAACTGGATTTGGCTTTGATATTACTGATCAAAATACCTTGCCAGTACAGGTAAGAAATTTCAGGTCCAAGAACTTCATAGTGAAGTTTATAGTTAAATAGTAATTTCTAATTATTTAGTGGAAATGTTGCAGGATGATCATCTTCTTTATGATTACAATGTACAAGAACGTGTAAACGACTTCATTGATGCTGCTATGACTCAAGTAACCTAGGATACTTCATTTTTCCCATTATAAAATCTTCATTTTAGATTTTAGATTTTCTATTTTCTAAAAGAAAAGTTAGGTTCCCTATTTTCTTACAGTTCTAGTTTCTAATTAAGTATGCATCTTCTATTATTTTTCTCATCTGCATAATTTCTAATTATCCTGATCTCAAGATTCATGTATTAGGCTAACGTGACAAGGACAAATCATATAATGTGGACAATGGGTGATGATTTTCAGTACCAGTATGCAGAATCTTGGTTCAAGCAAATGGACAAGCTGATCCATTATGTCAACAAGGTACAATTACAATATAAGCACTTTTTCAGGATATCAACAATAAACAAACTTGCATTAATTAGTAAAAAATGCTGTGATTTCTTTCTTCAAGACAGTGAGAAATAAGCATGCATATTTTGTAATACTGAGAATTCAGCTTTGCTCTAATTTTATATTATTTATTAATTAATTGTTTTAAGAATACATTTCTAGTTGATACTTGATACATCATTTTTCTTATATTAGCATTCCAGTGTTTCATCTGAAAATTGTATAACTATTAGAGGTTTTGAGCTACCTCCACTTAACTGTTCAGCTTATGCAAGTGCTGTGATGCTGGAGACAATTAAGCAAACAACACAAATTTTACAGCTAAACATTATTGGCATTTCACTACATTGTTTCGAGTTGGCACCTTGTTTAACTGCTTTGTCATGGAGAAACTATTGCAAAATTGACATGATAATAATTGATTTGTGTTTTTCTTCTTTCTGTTTGTTGCTGTTGTTAAACTGTTAATGCTGGTTGCTTTGCAGGTTCAATAATTTAGTACACATTGCAGTGTGCACAATTGGCACAACTTGTACAGAAAAGATAATAATTGAAATATGGTTGTTGAGAATTACATTGTAATGATTACTAGTAAAAGTTCCTTAATTTGGGTTGGTATGATATAAAGAAGCTTGGTATTTAATGTTTTACTTCTATAAGTATATCAAACAATGAATAATAGTTCTAACAATAAAATGTAACAAAATATTTACTACAATGAAATTGGAGTCCCCCAAAATCTCTTAACCTATGCATTTGTACTATGTCAAAATTTTGGCATGTGTACTTTGTGAACCATGCTGCAGCATTCCTAAAGGTATCATGTATCCTATTTGTGTAACTGTGTTGCAATACAAATATTTTGTATTATTAAAATTTTAAAACAATTAAAAAATATATGCTGTTCCCACAAACTTAAACAACCATGCTATTCCTAACAATTTTAAAATGGTAAAAGTAATCCTTGTGTGATTCATGTCATTAACTATGTATATATTGATGTTCAAGGATTGTTGTTTACATGATCTACTTTTTGGCAAAATCCTAGTACTTTGATGGTTAATTTATGGCTCGGCTATGTGGGATCATAGGGATGACATATGTTATAAGGTGTTGAAACCTTGACTTTAGTGATTAATCAAGTGTCTGGAACATTCCTAGCTGGCCTATATTGTTTTGTTTATCTTTCTTTTAAATCTATCTAATATCTCATTTGTTTATATAGGTCCAACTGTCAGAATTAGATTTCTGACAATTTGGTTTAACGAAACTATGAGTTATATTGATATTACAGGATGGCCGTGTCCATGCATTATATTCTACTCCGTCCATTTATACTGATGCAAAAAATGCTGAAAATGAGACTTGGCCACTAAAAACTGATGACTACTTCCCGTATGCAATCCTCACTTCATTACTTTGATTAAATAAAATTAACATTCTTATAAGTTATTAATAGCTTGCTCGACTGCTTGCAGATATTCAGATTCAGAAAATGCTTATTGGACTGGTTACTTCACGAGCCGACCAACATTCAAGCGTTATGTCCGCACACTGAGTGGATATTATCAGGTAGGCTGGTTACTTGGGTTACACTGCTTATAATATTTGATAACTGGTCTTGTTCCTTATTTGCTAAAATGCAATATATTTGTTGATAGGTAGCACGTCAAATTGAGTTCTTGGGAGGGAGGACACTATCTGGTTCATCTACCTTCAGCTTGGGAGATGCTTTGGGCATTGCTCAGCATCATGATGCTGTTTCTGGCACAGCAAAACAGCACACCACTAATGATTATGCTAAACGTCTTGCTTATGGAGCTTCTGAGGTTTACAGCTTTTCGAAAATCCATCTTTTTGCTCCCATTTTCAATGTTAATTTTTTATTATAATTCTTGTTACTTTTATATGTTGGCTTGTCTTTTATAGGCTGAAGCAGTTGTCAATTTAGCTCTTTCATGCTTAACCAGTTCGAGCAAATCCTGTGAACCTACAGCGACAAAATTCAGCCAGGTTTTATCTCGTTATATTGTTGCCTCTATCTATTTCTACTAGCCATCATGGGCATTTCCATGGAAATCCTTATTGATTTGGTCTATGGACATGTACTCTTGCTTAACAGTGCAAATTAAATGATGTATAAATATATGTAGATGTCCTTAATAGAAAAGACACTGGTAAGGTTGCCTTCTTGTTAATGTGGGTAACTTAAAGGGCCTTAATATGTGTTATAAACAAAACTTTGGTATTTACTTTGGGCAGAACCTAGACATGATCTGATAGACGACAATATCAAGTTATCAACGAGATAAAAACACAATGAAAAGTTAACTAGAGTGTTCAATGATTGGTCGGGAAACAAAACTTTAGTTCGAGATCACTCTATGTGTACATTTAACACAATGAGTAATATATTCATATCATAGCTATTGAAAGTTAACAGAATTGACTTGAGAACTACAAAAGAAAAGCAAGGTAAAAATTTAACATTCCATATTTGAGATAAAGACGCAAGTCTCAAAACAACTACTATTAGTCAGTTGCTTAGGCCAATCATGCAGATGCAGTTGATCTCAAAGATTGCCATTTCATGAACTAGCATATATTAATTGGTGTAAATCACAGGCCTTTTTCCACAAAGATTGCCATTTTGTGAACCAGTACATGTAAGTTGGTGGTAGGTCACATGCATCATTTCAATAAGTTTGATATTATCAAATTGTCAATGGTTTGTTTGTAGGCACAACCTTGATATGATATGACATCCAATTTGATAACCTGGTGGACTGGTATGGCGCTCAATGTGTCTTCATAATTTAACATGATTAATTGGTCGTACATGATTAATTTCATATAATGAATAATGAAGGATGGACCTTTCAATAATTTAACATGCAGCACCATAGAGGAACAACTATTTGTGCACTATTTAGTAAATAGCATTAGAATAAGTGCAACTATGAAGGATACTTGTAGTCTTGTACAGTCATTTTGGTGTAGTTTATACTTGGGTCTAAGTGCTAAAAGTTGTTATTGGCAAGGAATAAATGTTGAACAAAAACTTGTTAATAGCAAGGAATAAAAACTGTCAACCTTCAAGTTAGGTGGCTTTCCAGGGGTTTGAGTACGAAAACTCATGCACTCATCCTTGCTACTAATAAATTTATCACTTTATATTGCACATTCATATATAAACTTTCTTTCTCTAAGTGGATGATGTTCATGGTATTGGAGTCACTCCAATGGAGTGGTAACAACAATTATAGGGTGAAGTACCTTCAGCAAGTTTGGGATTTGATCAATTATTTGATAGCTGAAGTTGTAACTCTAGAAATTTGGATCTTGTAGCAACAAGAATGATTCCTTCTGCACCTCTTTCAAGAGGACAGCATCTACTGAAGGCTGGAGAATATTGGCACTATCTTAATATGTTCCTGTTAGAATGGTCTTTGATGCTCCCTTTTCTGTCATCTTTGGAGGATCCTTACACCAAATGAGATCCTTGTTATCATGTGGTTGGTCCTTCACATATGATTCATATTGGAAGATCTCCACACTGTCAAGTGTCAACCATTGGCTGTCAGTATGATCAACATTGTCATACTGTCTGTTACCTTTCATGAGCTGACCCTTCTTTTGTAAAAGACAGAAATCAGAAATTACTTGGGATGCTTGGATTTCCTGGAGAAACAGTAAACATGCCTAATAAGCTAAAATGGGGATTACCTAAGCAATCTGATGGGTCATACAGTAAAATAACAGAACGATCTTCATTTCAGACTCCCCAGCAACCTCTATCCTGTCCATTGATGTATCTGTCCTTATCTTTATTCTTATATTACATATATTCAGACTAAGAGAGCCTCGAGTAACTTTATCTTCTCTCTAGCTAGGCATGACCCTGGTTTCAAAACTAACAGTTTCAGAAACATTAAGCTTGTTAGATAAATATTAAGCTTGGAGTTCGAGGCTAACGATTCCCTCGATTTCTTGTCTTTGCAATAATAATTTGTCTCCTCTATAAATTTTACTACTTTGATTACTAACTTGATTTGTACATTCAAAACATTTAGAGGTAGCTTGTTGTTTATTATAACTTGCACTTTAATGTTTATATAAGCTAGTAAACATTTTTTAACTTCTCATATTTTTCACTAATATCAACATCTAAATATAAAAATTCATAATAATTAGTTAAATAATCATGCAAACCTTCTACTTTACAACGAGAATAAAAAACAAACACAACAGGGCAGATAGTGAGAATATTTACAAAATATTATCCTTATTTAATTTTTGTTGTCATAATAGTCATGCTCAATTCATTATTATGTTCATATTCTTCAAATGTTCCAATATTATTGATACATATAATAAAAAATAAATAAGTAATAGAATAATAAACATCCAATAAAGTATAGGTAGCATCATTAAAAACTTTTGAGATATCTAAATTTTTATAAAAATATTCCAATGTTATAGGTACAAACTTACAAGTGTCAACTTCTCATGCTGATCGATCATGTTGATCAGTCGATGGTATGACATGTGTCACTTTGTACCAACATATTGATCGGGGTGTGTTGACGATCAAGTTGACCATTGGGATTAGGTTAATTAGGGCCATCCGTAGACATCAATCGAAATTTGACCATTACCGATCGGTACAAGTTGGTAATAGTTTGGTTTTGGACATAGCACTCGGTACGAAGGGGTGTATTGCCCGATATGAACCCCAATAAAATCCGCCTAGTAGTAGGATTTAAAACATTTTGATAATAACGTATAAAGTTTAAGTTTTAACCAAAATTGAAAGAATGATGTTCGATGGAAATAAATTTAACTAATTCTTCATTTATTTTTTCAATAGAGAAATAGAAAGAACGATTAGTAGGGTACCCAAAAATTTGAGTCTGGCTTTTCTCTAGATTGGCTTGTGTGGGATGTTTCACCTCAATATGCTTTCTAAACATTCCATATTCACATCCTTTAAATTTGTAAATTTGAGAGCAGTAGTTGTAAATCACCTGAAACGAGTCATCAGAATTTTGGATCTTTTTGTAATGAAGCTTAAGAATATCTGACTTTATTGCTTTGGTTGTTGTAACGATTTCCTCCAGTTCCATTGTGAAGTGTTGGCTTTCTTGAGTAGGACAATCAGGCTTTCGAAGTTATCCTCGGCCATGAATGTCGAGGTTGGGTGCATTGAGCTTCCAGTTACCGTTGAAATTAGAAAGAAAGCTTAGGAGAGGGGGAGAATGCTATTGCAAAGAATATTGCAATTATAGAGCTTATGAGAGTATTATGATTGCTTGGTGAATTGGTCTGAGGAGGAATGAGAAGTTTAGGATTATTTATAGATATTTTGAGGTTTTTTCTTCCCAAAATGCCATCTGACTAGCTATTATTTAGCTATGAAAAGGCAATATTTGTCTTTTTCTCATATTTTTTGTATTTTTTGAATTATAAAATGACTAAAATATCAGTGAAATAGCCATTAATTGCATTATGATTGGGTAAATTGATCATTTGCCACCCCTTGGTCCAGTGCTGGGGCTACTGTGCCAACTGGTTGATGGCGTTGGGCCCAAAGGATAAGTTAACTGTCAATTTTGACCGTTGGCTACTTTCTTTTTATAATATGGCTAGTTTGAACCAGAATTGGAACCGAACTGGAACTACCAGTATTGGTTCTACTTTTATCCAGTTGGAACCAGAACTGAACCTCCTAGGCCTGGTTCCAGTTCTGTTCCAAATCGTCAAACTGCCAGGCTGGTTTGGTTCTGATTCTGACTCAATTTGGCTCTGGTTCGAATCAAACTGTGGTCATGCCCATCTCTAGCCTTCCTCTCTCATCAAATCCATTTTCATTTTCCTTTACAATTTTCATTTTCATTTTCATTTTTTTAGTTCTATTAGTGAAATAAAGATTTGAGGCTATCCATTTCAAGGATTTAAATCTCAGTCCAATACCAGTAATGGTAACCTATTGGACTGATATGGTACCTGTATACTGTATGATACTGACCTGTACCATCTGGTCTCACTGAGAAAAATAAATGCCAACTGATACCAACCCATATGTTCCATAAATGGTCCTAGGTTTGATAAATAATATAGGCCTGTTCTGACAGGGACAATCAAAATTTGATTCTTGGTCCAGACTCCAGTCTGCTCAATATATATACACTGTACATGAGATTTCTAAAGGATTACATGATTGTCCTTTTGATCATTAAAATTAAACCTTTGGGGCTTCAATGTGCCTATGCTGAAAGAAAAATTGTATATTCTATTATTTTCTCTGTTGTTCTGTGTACGAGATTTTTTCCTCAGATCCTGGATTCCCTTTATTAAGTTTGGTTGTTACTTTTGCAGTGCAATTTGTTGAATATAAGCTATTGCCCAGCAACTGAGGAAGATATATCAGCAGGGAAGAGCTTAGTAAGTCAATTTCTTCTCTTTTCTTTTTCCTTTATCATGAGATCAGAGACAATTTCAGGTTTCTGAAGTCTTGTAAGTTATTCTTGCTGTTCTTTCCAGGTGGTAGTGGCATATAATCCTCTGGGATGGCACCATGATGACTTTATAAGAATACCAGTAAGTAAGATTTGTATTGATGATCGCCTAAGTTATTATGTAAGCATTTGTAGTAATATAGAGATTTACTAACTAAATAGCAGCAAGTTTATAAAATTAAGTTGAATCAGCCTTTTGTCTCGTTAAGCTATCTTCATAATCAGTATTCTCATGATTCTGTTGCTCAAATATAACAGTATTCATGGACTTTGTTCAGTAATTTCTGACATGTTATTTTGTACTTGTTTTGATGCATCATTGATTGTGAAAAATATTCAATTTTTTTGCTAAAGAGAAACTTGTTAGATGTCATTACTATTCTTCATTATTATGTTGATGTAATTGGCCAAAACCATCATCATTCTGATTTTGTCTCCTTACAAGCAAGGTCTGAAATTTCGTACCGTACCGGAGTTTCGACGATCGCTCGGTACGGTACGGAATGATAGACCGAGCGGTGTACCGTTCGATATATATATATATTATATTTATTTTTTATTTATTTATTGGCTGACGTCGCATCGCCTCGGCGACGTCGCCTTTTCCTTCCCCACACGGGGCGACGTCGCCGAAAAAGACGTT